AAAAGAGTGGCAGAGGGAAATAATTAGACACAGAGTCAGTGGTGTGGTAACAGTACCTGCAAGTTTAAAAGAAAAAGTGGCAGTTGCAGCACAGGGAGATAATCATGCTCAACTATGTTTTTTGAATGAAACTTCTGGTCTGTGTTACTGTTCTTATTCAAATTGCAAAAAGTGTTACTTTTAACAAAGCATTTTCTTCAATGTTTCTCCCTCCACCTGCATCTCTGCACTGTTTGTAACACAGATGCTACTGGTGCATATACCTGCAACATTCAGGAATAACAGGATTTCATGAATTATGGCAAGATAAAGTAGAGAAAGATGGTACTAACTTGCTGACAACATTGCATGTGTAAGTCTTCCAGCTTACTTTTCTGGTTATTCCCTCTTGCATAATAAACTGGAATGATGTTTATATATAAACATAACATGTGATAGTACATATTATGTTTATATATACATTACATAATATAAATATCATTCCAGGTTTTATATATATATAATATATATGTGTTTCACCTTGGCTTTTTCGTGATTTGTCTTCTCTGTCTTGTTACTGTGCTTTTCCATGGTGTAAACGTAAAAACATAAATGCAGCACAGTTTCCTGTCTCCTTTTAAAATCTTTAAATAGCCTTTTCTTGCTCTTATGCAGCAGAAGTCACTTGCTGTTGAACAGCACTCTGAGTGCTCTAACAAAGAAATCAGTGACTGTAATAGCTTCTATTGAACCTGGTACTATGTTTTGGCAAATGCACCTCAATTTCCTTTGCATCTGTGAGTAAAAGGTGCTTTAGGAGGGGGAGAATATGTCTGCTTTTTATAGAGCCCTGCAGGTTATGCAGTCATTTGTTGGAGTTTTTTACCTAACCATTTTTCCTGAAGTCTGCTTAAGGGGTGACAGTTTATGTAAAGCCTAGCATTTCCTAGCACTTTATTTTCAGGCCTTATGTAGATGAAATGCTTGTATTCACCACATGAAGAATGCCTAATAGTATGGGTGGTGTGTTGTCAGTGTGAGGAGCTCATCCAGGAAACTTTTGGAAAATGTTTTGTTTAAAACAACAACAAAAAAAAAATCTAGGAGCATCTTTTGTATCACTGTAACCATGTGTGGCATGTGCACTCGTCCTCTTCCCCTTGGTCTCCAGTGTATATATAGCATGCATTCAGCGAGTGCTGTGGAGTCTGTGAACTCAGGCATGCAGCAGGGAGCCAGCAATCCATTTTTTACTTTCTCCTGCTTGTAATCTAATAAGGCAATAATTGTTTCTGTGCAGTTTATGGAGGTTGGAGTGTATGTTTGCATTTTTAGTTTTAACACAAATTAAAAAAAAAAAGCTTGCTATTCTCACTGTCTTGCAAGGCAACCTAGAGAAATGGGAATCCTTTCCCACAAGGAATTGATGTATGCAACATACTATAACTCTGAGTAGAATACATATGGTTAATATGGGCAGGGATTGCAGGATGTACCTGTCTGTAGCAGGCTATTGAGTAAAACTTGGCAGTTCTGGAACTGAAGCAGGTTGCTTTCTGCCTGTACCAAGACCAAAAGATTTTGCAGACCATTAATTTACCCCTCTAATTTCAGAGGTGCTTAAAATCAGTTGCCTCTTGGGCACCCTTGGAAATACCAGTTAACTTCATTATGCTTTTTATGTTGAGTCTAATCTGTGCTTTCAGATTGATCTTTTTCTCATGATGGAAATGTTAAGCAGTAGTAGTAATTGGTATGCATATTTGATAGGAATCATGCAACATGGATCAAATAGTATAGCTCAGTTTAAATAACTTGGAATACATATAGTAATCTTAAGGAATGCCTGCTTAGTTCTGCTTGGGCTGTCTGTCTTGTCCCGCTTATCTTCTGTAGAAGTATAATTCTCATAGACTTAAATCTTGCACTAAAGTGCCTCACTCCTAAATGGGACTACCAGATATAATTTGAATTTGTTTTCTTTTGGTCGAAAACAGTTTAATTAAGGGAACAATTAGAAAAATCTCATTAAAACTTCATTCAAGTTCAGTGTACTGAAAAGTGAGCTTCCTGTGACAAGATGATTCAGAAATCATGCTTTTCTGATTTCTCATTGACACAGTTCCCAGGTAATAGTGTGTGTGTGCTGATTTGAAGCAGTGGCTTGAACTGTGCTGTTGTCACTGTTTGCATTGCTGTGATGGTTGTGATAGAGACTAGAACAATAGCATTAATCCCAGGCACCTTCTCACCCCTGAGGGAGGGGAAGAGTTCTGCAGGAATTTACAATCTATTTTGCATTGCATTTTCATTTTTTGGGTCCCAGGTTTTTACAGCAGTAAAAGCATAAATTTGGATAAACTACCCCCACCTTGGCTTTGCAGTCAGCATCAATACTGGAAGCCAGCACAGACCAGGCTGCAGAAGCTTTCTGAAGCTGTGAGCACCCTTGCATATATCCACTCACTGTTTCTGGAACTGGTTCCTTACAAAATGACCATGTACGTGCTAGATAGCATAATCTGTGAAGGCTAGTTGTATGTCCTAGGTTCTGCTTCAGTGGATCGGGAAGCCTGTCTTTCTAAAAACTAAATCACAGCAGCCAACAAATAGTTTGCTTGTGTAGTCAGTCCAGCCCAGCCCCTCTGTTTCTCTTCCCTTGTTCCAGTCTGAGATTGCGGGTAAGTCACGTGAGTGAATCGGATAGCTTGGGGGGGCTCTCAGGGAAAAATAGTGCTAGATGGGCCTTTTCCACACATGTTTACTGGGTTAGTTTAGACTTCCTATTTCAGGTTGACTCATGATTTTGGAAGAATAAGTGATTTTCTTAAGATTGCCCATATTCACAGACTGATGGGCCTGCCTCTGTTTTGGGTGCAGGTATCACTTTATCTAACACTGCAGCATCAGTAAGTATAGTAGAGTTAGTTGCACATTCCCCTGGAAACAGTAACATGTAGGAGATGTGGGTCTTGCATTACTGGGTCCTTTTGAAAAGGAGGACTTAAGAGCTCCTTACTGATATGAAGCTGCAGTGAGGATCTTCTGGCCTCAACAGTGCTGCAAAAACTGCTTTGGGGCTCTGTGCAGTCAGGCCTGTTGAGATCAGCAGGTTGGGATTGCAGTGAATGCTGTTAAATAAGGACTGATTTGTCCTTGACTCAGATGTTGAAAAATGCTGAGCACCTGGCATGACAGCAGAGAATTCCATTGCTCTTTGAAAGAAAGCTCAGCTTTTCCCTGGTAGGGGTTTAAGAAATGATGAAGCTTTGCTCATACTGGTATTGAGCCATAGTCCATGTGACACTCATTGCAAATTTATGTATTCTCTGCATTTTTCTGTAAGCAAATCCATGTAGCAGTACAAAAGCTTAAAATCCAGAGTAGTGGTTCAACAGCTTTGCTTCAGGTTCATCTCGGTAAGCTGTGTGCCTGCTGCTGATAGACATTGCAGAGCATGTACACTGCTGCTTTGAATTGTGCATTTGTATTGAATCTGCAGGGAACTGTGTTTAGAAGGGTTAGATAAACACAATTAGGCTGTATTGCCAGCAATGATGTTCTTATTTAATGCATTAATGAGTGCAGGTGGCAGGACCTCTGAAGTGAAGTAAATACAATGCAAACTCCTGCTTGTACGTGGCAGAGCCGTTCTGAGTCCAAGCTGCTGAATGCTGAGCAAGCTCTGAGAGATGAGGTGGGAGATGGGAATGAGCTTCCCATGCCTGAATGATAATTTTGCCCTCTTGATGGCAGGTTTCTGAACATTACCTTACAGCAGAACTGGCTTGTGTGAAAGAACCAAGAGCAAGAGAGTATGGTTTTAGAGCTGTAATAGGATGTTACTCTACATTTCTGTCGATAGCAGCATTAAGATAAGGTGGTCACAAATACAGATTTACTTGCTTGCCACCTTGTTCTGTTACCTGGCAGGATTCAATAATGCACTGACTGAAAGAATTATGTTCAGCCTACACCAGCGCTTACAGTGTTAGAACAACACTGCCTGAGTTCCTTCATTTCCTTCTATAGACAAGATGCTGTAAGCCAGCACAATCACTGTGCTTTGCTGGCCTTTCCCACAGTGAAACCTGGTTTTTATTTCCTGCTGCTTTAACCTTAGTATCAGTGAAATGATCCCTGGAAAGCTTGTATTGATTGCACATTATTGTCTAATTAAAGTGCAATAAGAAGAATTGCAGAACACTCGCTCTTACAGCCCTGTGCCTATTGTAGACACTATAAATTACAAAGCTTTCTGTTCAAATATGGAAAATGTCAGTGCTTATTTCCTTTTGAGTTTCCCAGCATCTCCTAAAGGCTACATTTGTAGGTGTGTGATTATTTTTTTTTTCCCAAATAACAACTGGAAAGAAGTGTTAGAGAAAAATGGGGCCCTATAGGCTTGCAGGGGCCCTGTTCTGATCCTGCTAACTGTAACACATATCGTCTAAAGGGAGGCACTTCTAAATGAATGTATTTTAATCTGAAACCTGCTAGATGATCCTCTAGAATCATGTGCAGAGATATAAACGGGTATTAGTTATACAATATATAGGGGCCAGTCATTAAACAGTGCTGTCTGGTCTTACCTGGAGGCTGTTCCTTGCTCTGTCTGGACTTTATGGCTCTCTTACTCCATGTTGCCTGTGGTTTAATGCTTTCTAGTAACTTGTATCTTCCCAAGTTATGTGCAAGGAGCTAGTAAAAGATAAATCCTAGTCTTTGACACATTGTGGTGCTGCATCTTGCTTAGTCATTGAATACATGGCCTTGGGGAAATCACTTCAGTTACCCAAACCTTCAGCTTGCATCTAATCACTAGGTGCTACATGACACGCTGATACATTTAGAGATGTATGAATGATCAGTAATTCTGCCCAGTACAGTGAGCAAAAAGATGTAGAGAATGGTGGGCTTCTATGCTATGAATGAGTGAATGATTCACCAGTTGCATACAAAACCACTTAAATGTGTTTAGTCTCATGTCTGAAAGTGACTTTTCCCTTTTTCCCTTACAGATGTACTTTCCGATTCCCTAGCACGGTTATAAAGATCCAGTTTACATCTTTATACCATAAAGAAGAAGCAAAAGAGGAAGCCTCATCGCCTCCCCTTCGGCCACTTTACCCTCAAATATCTCCTCTGAAGATCCACATCCCGGAGCCGGATCTCCGGAGCGTGGTCAGTCCCCTCCCATCCCCCACTGGCACTATCAGGTAAGATGTTAACTATACAAAATGTGCTTTCTGGAAACTCCATCTGTGTTCTCTGACATCAGTCCGTCAGCCCTGTTTGCTTTGGCATACTTGGTGCATAAAATGCCCCATTAAAAATAACTAAATATCTGATGTTCAAAACGGTGGAAGACTGCTAAAAACTGTGTTACGGTGGCTGGGAGTAGGGCACTGGTTTTAAGAGCACAAAGGGTTCGGGGCGGGGTGGAACTTGAGTGTTAGTTTCACATTATAGAGTTACTAGTCTATCTTTGGCAGTGGTATTAGAAATATCTGTAAAGAGCTACCTATATGCCTGGAGAAAAGAAAGCAGGCAAATACTTTCTATGTTAGGACTGCCTGTTTTATTTTTATCTCAATATTCTGTTGTTGCTGGGTGGTGCTGGTGTTATCTGAAGTTAGGGACAAGAGTGGCCATTGGCACGTGGTTTCCTGGGAATAGAAGGAAATGAGGGTAGGATGCTGACCATGTACTGAGGGGCTGTAGCAATCTGAATGTACATCTGTGCAAGTATCCTGTTTTGTAGTTATCCAGTTCATGAATGTGCAATAGAAATAACCTGCACATCAAGTTACTATCTGGAATATTTTCTTTCTCAACAGAGTTGATGTTACGGAGTTAGCTCTTCTAACATTAAAGCGGTTACTTGAAGTATACATTTTATAAAGTATAGTAGACTCATGTTATAGGATGATGTATTAGAATTTTAAAATGTGCGGGCCTCAGAATAGCAAGAGTGTACCTGGTCATAGTAATAGCCTTTGGTTTATTTTCTTGTCTGTACATTTGTAGAAAGGTATAGTACACAAACATCTTCTGCCAGTTAGCACTAATTCAGTGAGTCGTATTCAAATTTACGTGTCTGAGAACAACTTCAGTGTCACAATGAAGTCTGTTTGGTTTTGCATAGATCTGGAGACGCTTGCTTGTTTGGGTTTTTCCACCGGTCTTGCAGAGCTGCACAGATGTGCAGTGCAGATATTCTAGAAAGAGGGGGCTGGAGGTAGCTGTGGTTTTTAGTCCTCTGTTCAGGCACTGCTTTGAGTTTATATTTAACCTTCTCTTTTTAGATGAAGCTTGTTGCTGGGAGGGGAGGGGGATGGTTTCTTTGCCAACATATGGTAGTTAGTTTCCATTCAGTCATCTTGCGCAAAGCAGCAGTGTGGTTTGTGTTACTAACAGAGGCTGTATCTCTTGACTCTGGCATATGCCTGCAACTGATATTTGACTCCCCGAGAATTTTTCTTTTGCATAAGGAGAAAGTGGAAATAGTAGTGTTGAATTGTGTTCAGCCCCTAACGGAGTGTTTACTAAGGATGATTAATTATTGCATCCGTTTGTCTTGAGCAGAAGCTAATCCAGCCAAGTCTTCAGAAAACCTCAAAAGACATCTGAGGTTTCACTTGCCAAACCCCTTTCATTTCCGAGTTCCTCTTACAGAGGAGGGGCTGACACATTTGTAAACATCCCTGCTCAGCCCCTTTAACCTTCCCCTCTCCCCCAGCAGGGTCTTGCAGCTCTGAAATCCTGTGGGCCAGGCTTTGGGAAGCAGTTTGGGTGTTTCTGCCAGAGAAAGGGAATGCTCTTTGGGGAGCATGTAGCTGTTCTGGCCACCTGGCTTTCAGGGCAGCTCTCTCCTGGTGGCTTCACAGTGGTGGGTGAGGCTGGCACAGTGCCGTTTCCCCCTTCCCAAGGGCAGGTTTGGGAGGGCTGGTGGGGGCTCAGCATGGGACCCACACCCCTCTCCCACCGCTGGCTGGGAGGTGATTGCATGAGTTGGACTCTCCTCCTCCTCCCTCTCTCCCTTCTAGTATTTACTTTCCTAATTTGGTGCGTTTGCCTCGCTCCTCCCTGATTGGCCCGTGGAAAATTATTGCAGTTTGGAAATTCTGGGCAGGGTGAAATTTCCTTTTTGGAAAGTGGCTGCTGGCCCCCTTTTCCTGCCTCCACCCCGGTGCGGGGCAAGGGCTGTACCTGCGCTCCCGCTGCCAGATCCAGCCCTGCCCTCCTGACCCCCGGCCCTGCTCTGCCTGCCTGTTTACATTGCAGCTTGCTTCCCTGCAGGTTCCCCCCTGCAAGCTTCTGGGGTTTTTTTCAGCCTATTTATTTTCCCTCTGCAAAGTGAACCGTCTAGAGAGGGAATGAGCTTTAGTTAAACAAAACCAAACCTGCCACCCTCAGCAGCTTTGCAAAGCAAGATTCCTGCTTACTCTTGGGGAGAAATGTGTCTACTGTTTTTTTTAGCTAGGTGTTTTATCTCCAGGAGGGGCCACTTGTAGGTGTTTTGAATGCTGTTGTACAGCTTTAAGGGAAAATGCTGGTTGGCAACATGCTGTGAGGCTTACACACAGCCATGGCTTATTTCTTCCTGCTTTGAGTTCAAAATTCCTTTTTAAAAAAGTCAGACTTGCATGTTCCAAAAAAGGAAAAGGCCACTGTGGTTATAAGAATTTGGTAGAAGCAGCCTGCCATTTTACACAACATAAGGGCAGAGTAGCACCAAATCTCAGTAGATTCAAGGCATTGAAAAGCTGTGTGAAAACCATGTGTAATTTGGTTAAATTCAGCTCTGCCTGTTGGGAGATATAACTGATTCACAATGTCATGAGTTAAGGGATGGTCTTTCAGTACACAGCTGTAAGGTTCTGCAGCTTGCATTTGGAGTGTCCTCTTTGGGTGACAGTGGTGACATGAAGCTCCTCACCTATGCTATAAACACTTAGCTTTGCCTAGTTTTGCTATAAGTCCTACATTATATAATACCTACATTAATGTGACTCCATATATGTGTTGCAATCTAGTCCCCAGAGTGGCTTGTGTTTAGATTATAAACAGATCCACAGAGACAAGGTGTGGTTTAGGAGCCTATTTCTGGTCTCAAAGTCATGCTGAGTTGGAGTTTAGATTTACAGTGTTTAGTTTTCCATTTATTATCTTCCAGTTGGTGTAAATGACCCTTGAGTAGTAACTTAACTCAGTTTTCCAAATAGCAACTCTCTCCAGCACTGCCCCTCAGAGTTGGGGTTTTTTTTTAGTATTTATGAAAATGAGATTATTTCTCTGTACATGCTTCCTTATTCTAAACAGCAATTTTGTTCTCACCAATATATATTTTTTTAAAAGCTACAGTGAAGAAATACTAAATGCTGTACTATGGATGTCAGTATCACTATTCATATTTTACAGCTGCTACTTCTGGCTTATCTCTGCACCAGAATGATTGTGGGCTTGAACACTTTGTCTTGTACTTGTTTGGTTTTTTTTCACTGAAAGGGCATGGATAGTTAGCTCATATACACAGTCTTTATCAGTAAAAAAATAAAATTCTTTTACATATAGGAGGAAGAGCCCCTAGAGTCCTGTGAGAACCACTGCTTGAAAATTGTCTGGTGAGGTTCTGTGCTAATAGCAAAACTGTTACAAATTTGGGTTCCCACACAAATATGTATTTCAATTGTTAGTACTTAATGTGCTTGCCCATGTTCATCAGTTGCTAGAAGGGTTGATACCTAGTTTACAATTAAATTAATGGTATGAATAATGAAAGATCAGTCGGTATTCTTCTGCTTCCTTTGTTTTATAAGTTAGATTAGTAAACCAGAAGATGTGAGCTGAATTGCCATGGCTTCATAAGCTGTATTCTTTAAACCTTATTTCCTTTTTTCCATATTTTCACTAGGCAAAATTAGTTCAGTAACACGTTGCACACTTTGATAGCGGATTATTCAGAGGCCTGCACTCCAGGAACTGCAGTTATCTTGGTTTAGCCACCAACTTCTTTTGTGGCCTTTAACAGGTCATTGAAATTCATTGTCTGATTTTTATGCATGTATAGTGTAATTACTACTTTCCAAGAGTGTGTAGTAGATAAATTATGCATTGAGCTTTTATTCTGCAAAGCATGACAGAAGAGTGTGTATGAGCCATGTCATAGTAGACATGCAAATACTGGTTATGCTTTCATTCAGACTTGTCTTGGAAAAAGGGAGTGCTTTCTAACAGGCTGTAGGACAACCATACATCACTGTTTCAGAACACTTGGGATTTAATCTGAACTCGCACATTTCCTCTAAAGGTATGTAGTAGGAAGCTGAATGAACCCTGACTTCAGTGGATGCATTCACTTACTGGAACAGGTTTGCATAAATATTGCCTGCTCCATTTCATTCAGGCTTTCCTTCTTCCTATAGCATGATTAGCCATCTAACTGAAAAGGTGCTGAAGAGCTCCAAGGCAGGCTTTTTGCAGGCTCTTTTGCATTGTCTCGGTTATCCATTACTTCCTGCATTCGGGCAGAACATACAGCTTGGGTAACTCCCACAATTGGACAGACTGGTGATTATTTTTAATCACCCTTGTCTCCAAACCACAAGCCAACTAGTGTGATACATATACATCACATAAGAAAAGCAACAATCTATACAGGGCTTGGGAGTTCCTACGCATGTTTATTTCAGATAATGGACCATGTGCTAGAGGAGATGTGCCAAGCCATGTGCTGGAGGAAGGGTTACAGATGTCACCAGCTACAAGAGCACTTCCTCTTCCCCTGATCAGTATAAAATGTTCACTGAATCTATGGTTGGAGTGAGCTCACTTCCTTTCGAAGAGGGGAACCACTGAAGCACAGACAAGTAGTAAGAATTTCAACTTTTGGGGATAGCTAACTTTCCCTCACTGTGGCTTGTTCGACAGCTTTGTTTTTCTTTGGCATTAAGCAGGCAGGGAGGCTCTCAGATTTCTCCTTTCACATCAAAATCCAGCTTGGTTTGGCAGTCTCACCACTTGTGATTGTTTCTGAAACCTGTCTGAAACATGCAACGTGCAAGGACTTGCCTTTCTTTGAGTTACAATTTTGGGGCTAGGCTGGGGAAGGAGAGAGTGGCAGAGGATTCTCACCCGTTTTTGTTGATTGGTGTATCTTAGAAATGCTTGTTTCGCAAGCCAAAGTGCTGTACTTTGACCTGATTTTTGCCTGTTG